TGGCACAATTCATCTTTCCAAGAGAAATTTCTCTTGGCTTGTTTTCAAAAATATTGCATTAACATAACTTTAGTAATTTCTACATATTTTTTAAAAATGTGGTTCATCCACAAAAGACTGTCAAAATTTGTAATAAAATATTTGTATTTATAGTAGAATAAAAAGGAATTATTCAGAGTTTGCTGAGTTAGAATAAATTAGACCATGGATGAACATGAATATTTGTTTCTGTTTGAACATAACCATATTTTGATAGCTATGAACCATTTAACCATATTTTGATAGCTAACCTAAAATCTAATGTTACAAAAATTGTGGCTCTTAATACCAAATTTCCTAGAAAAGAAACAGACTAGTTCAAAATATAGCAATAGCACTTAGACTTATATATTTCTCCACAGTACTTTACAGCATTCACTGATAGTTTACAAATGTCAGCATAATTATCCCTAACAATCTGGGCCCTCATTTTACCAGCTTCAGAAGGATGGAAGGCTGAGTCAACCTTGAGCCGGTTAGGATCAAATTCCTGACTGTAGGCAGAATCAGCCTGTAATACTGCATTCTAACCACTACCCTACCATATATCAATCAACTATAATGTAATACATTATATATATACATTATACATTATATATATATTATATACATTATATATATATACATTATAGTTGATTGATATATTGTGTCAACAAGTCATGGTGGACTCTTAGCAGTCACATACTGGAAACAGATTTTCCCTTGGTGATCTGTCCCTTTTCTGGTATGTTCAGGTGTTCCAATAGTACACTGAATACCATTATAACTGAGTCTATCCAGCTTCCCACTGATTGTTCTCTTTACTTCCACCTTTCCCAGCCCAGCCTTCACTAGAAAATTATGTCTTTACATAATGTGTATCTGAATTTGAGTATGATTATTTATGCCTTGAATGAGAACTCTGGATTGATTTGTTCAATGATTCATTTGTTATGGCTGTCCATAATATTCTCAGAAGTCTTCTCCAACCCCAAAGTTCAAAAGTTGCAATAACAATAGCACTTAGATTTATATACTGCTTCACAATGATTTACAGCCCTCTCTAAGTGATTTACAGAGTCAGCATATTGCGCCCAGTAATCTGAGTCCTCATTTTACTGACCTTTTTTTAAGGTTAGGTCCCTCAGAAGGATAGAGGGCTGAGTCAACCTCCTACTTCCAATTTTTGTTTCCATCGAATGTCACAGAGAATGCCATGGTTCTATCTTTGTAGGTATAGACACAACCAATATTTTAATATCTTTTTCAAGGCCTTCATATGATTTATTTCAAGTGCTAGTTTGTAGCATATTCATTCATTGTTTGATACTTTACTGTTGATGGTTGATTCTAAAAAGCAGAAGCTATCCACCACTTTGATATCTTCATCATCAGTCATAAGGCTGGTTATTCTACCTGTTGTCCTTAGTTCTATCTTCTTTAAATTCAATCTTAGTCCCATTCTTTTTGGTGTGCTCTTGATTTTTGTTATTAAATCCTTTGAATTTTTAACTATCAGAGTTGATCAATGATTAATAACCAACTATCATCATTGCACAGTTTATTGATGCTTCTTCCTCCATTTGTCACACTCATTTTCTTCCTATCCAGTTCCTCTTAATATACTGTATATTCAGCATGTAGGTTGAATAAATAAGGAGATAGCATGCAGCCATCAAACTTCTTTGCCAACCTGGAACCATCCTGTTTCATAAAGTTCTGTCTATACTGTAGTTTCCTGACTTGTATATACATTTTTCATGAGGACAATAAGATTCCCATTTTATGAGCATTTTCTACAGCTTAATGCATTCAACATAGCCAAAGGCATTCCTATAATCAATGAAGCACATGCTAAATTATTTCTGGTATTTGGACTATCTCAATTATCCATTGCGCACCAGCATAAGTATCTGATACTCCTTGGCCTTTTCTAAAGCCAGTTTGAACATCTGGCATCTCTTTTTCCATATAGTGCTCTAATCTGTATTGGATGATCCTAAGCAATATTTGTGCTAGCATGTGAAATTAAGGATACTGTGCCATACTTTGCACACTCTGTTAAGCCTCCTTTTTTGGTATTAGTATGTAGATTGACCTCTTCCAATCTGTTGGCCACTATGTCATTCTCCAAATATGCTTAGAGCTTTTACTGATTCTTCTTGTTGCTTGCCAAAGTTCTGTGGGTATTCTATCAGTTCCTGTAGCCTTCAGACTTGGCAGTCAAAAGAATGCTGATCTAACTTCTAGTACTAGAAATTCTAGTACTAGAGATTCTTATAAGCAAGGAATATTTTCCAAGGAATCTTGGCTGTTGATCTTACTATACAGTATATCAGTACACTCCTAGCTTTGTTTAATCTCCTTTGAATCTGTTGCTATCTGTCCATTGGTATTTCTTAGCATACCAATTTGAGGTTGGAACTACTTCTGAGTTCAGAGATCTTTTGAAAGACATTCCTTGTTTTTCAATATCTGTTTCCATTTTCAGCGTCTTTACACATGATGTTGAAATCCTGCTTCTTGTCTCTACTAACTTCTTGTCTCTGTAATTCTTTGTTAAATTTATTTCTGAGATTTTGGTCTTTCTTGGCTTTGGCTTCCCTTCTTGGCAATTTCCTTAGTTGTTTTGACTCCCTTTTTACTTTCTTCTGTTTCTTCATTTCTGGCAGTCTCTTTTCACATTAAACCTTAAAGAAGTCATTCTTTAAATTCTTTCCACTGTTCCTCTTGTTTTCTAACAATTAGGTTCAGAATCTCAAAACCATTCCTAATTTATCCTTGAAAATAATGGGCATATTTCAAGATCATCTCGTACAAATTAACTAGTTTTCTTCTTCTTTAGTTTAGCTTGGAATTTACACATGAGCAGTCTGGAATCTGTTCCACAGTCAGCACCTGGCCATGTCTTTAATGCTATAATTGAGTTACTTCATTTAGAAACAACATAATCAATTTGATTTCCATATATTCCATCTGGTAATGTTAATGTATTGAGATATTGTTTTGGTTGTTTGAAGCCAGTGTTAGCTATGAAGAATTCATTGGAGTGGCAGAAATTTATAAGCTGGTCTCCTGCTTCATTTTAGCTTCCTAAATCATACAATCCAATTATTTTTTCCTCTTTCAGATTGGCATTCCAGTCTCCAATCACACGCAACACATTTTGCTTGCATCTTCTGTCGGTGTCAAGTTGAACATGATCATAAAATACAGCAGCTTCCTCTTCTTCTGTACTGGCAGCTGGAACATAAATTTGAATGATCACCATATTAAAGAGTTATACACAACAGATCATCAATATTATTTGGTTATTCATTGCACTGTAGCTATGTAGTGTTCTTACTATACTCCTCGTAACAATATAAGCAGTGCCGTTCCTTCTTTGTTTTTCATATCCTGAATACTAAACAGTCTGATTAAAGATGTACACTTTCAATCCATCTCAATTCTCTAATGTCTAAAATGTAAATTTGTAGTCATTTCACTTAATCTTTCTGTTGAACCTCCCCATGTTCTTGCTTCTTGCATTCCATGTTCCTTCTGTAATTCTGCCTTTGTAGCTTTGGATCTTCTTTCCCATCATCTGGTTTCAATATCACTGCTGCCAAATATAGATGTCTTCTTGTTTTAGCTGTGCAGGTGGAATGACTTTCATTCCTTTGGTAGTCTCTGCTGGGAATATATACTTTTAGCATATAGTTCTGGTGTTTTTTGCTCATCCCTCCCAGGAACACCCCCAGCCACCATGAGGAAGCACCACAGGACTTTATGAGAGGACGTCATAATAGCCTTTTTAAAATGTAAAATGTGCAATTTCTGACTCTCATTTCTTCACTTTATATCATGTGAAAAATCAGGTTTTTCCCCTAACTGATCTAGAAAATACAGTATTAACAAAATAACAGAATAAGAGAGCTTGGAGATCTTTTAGTCCAACCCCCTACTCATGTAGGAAACCCTATACCATTTCAGACAAATGGTTGTCCAATCTCTTCTTAAAAACCTTCAGTGTTGGAGCACCCACAACTTTTGGAGGCAAATCATTTCACTGATTAATTGTTCTAACTGTCAGGAAATGCCTCCTTAGTTCTAGGTTGCTTTTCTCCTTGATTAGTTTCTGTCCATTGGTTCTTGTCCTGCCTTTAGGTGCTTTGGAAATTAGGTTCACTCCCTCTTCTTTGTGGCACCCTTCAAATACTGGAACACTGCTATCATGTAACCCCCCTTTTTATTTTTTTTTATTAAATTACCCAATTCCTTCAACCGTTCTTCATATGTTTTAGCCTCCAGTTCTCTAATTATCTTTGTGGCTTTTCTCTGCACTATTTGTAGAGTCTCAGCATCTTTTTTATATTGTGGTGACCAAAACTGACTACAATATTCCAAGTGTGGCCTTACCAAAGCATTATAAAGTGGTACTAATACTTCACATGATCTTGATTTTTATCCCTCTGTTAATGCAGCCTACAACGGTGTTGGCTTTTTTGGCAGCTGAAGCACACACATTATTTTAAGTACATTGTTCTTTATGTTTAAAATTGAAAACTTTGCTTCAATCCAAATCAGAGGAAGAAATGTTTTAAATGCCCAATACCTCTTTTCTTGAGGGTGGTTTGGAAAATGCAAAATATATGGTCTCACCCCTAAAGGTGAAATTATTCAAGCAAAACCAAGCATGACTAAACAATTTGATTTGTGTAAGAAAAATGCATGGGCATGCTTAATTTCAAATCTCTTGTTATTTATTTTAAACTGCTTTACTGCAAAAATGATTATATCAAATTGTTTGTGTTCAAGATTAAATAGCATGGGTTAGAAATCCCATACTAATCCAAAATCACCCCTATGAAGACACACAAACTGGGTGAGTTTATCTGCTGGGAACGCTGCATTGCTTTGAAATTACATGATTGTAAATTATACAAAACCCTCAATATTCTGTGCTGCCAGCTTGTAATGTTACTTTTTCTGTCTTGCAGATGACGTCAGCCTTTCTCATGGTATCATATCTATCACAACTCAGAAGAAAGAAGCCTGGTAAGTGTTCGCATTTACGATAAAGAGTTAGTATTTTAACATTCTTCTGAGATTTAACATTCAGTTTACTTTTCACTTGCATTGGAACATTAAGCTTCATTTAATGTCATGCAAAATAAAGCGTATAACCTCACCATATAATCCTTCTGGGGAAATTCCATAGCCTCTCTTTGAATTGAGGCATAATCAAGCCAGATACATGTAAATTTTAGATCAGTGCAACATATCTACTACCTGAGGATTGATCTTAAGTACATTTATTTGAAAATTGTGAAAAAAATATAACGCTGTGGAAGACTGCCAGAAAAAAAATGAATATGGTTAGAGTTGGTGTGTAATATTATCCTTTTTTAAGCCTTTAAGTAGTATGTTGCTTCAAATTTTAATATGAACCTGCTATATTAATAATGTAATAGGAGTATGGCTGTGAAACTAACAAGAGTTTCAGTCTCCCCCATTATTAATATTGGCAAATAGCAACTATTCTGGTTGTGACTGCTGCAGCTATTTTGGCAAATAGCAATAGCACTTAGACTTATATACCGCTTCACAGTGCTTTACAGCCCTCTCTAAGTGATTTACGCTTAGAGTCACTTACATTGCCCCCCAACAGTCTGGGTCCTCATTTTACTGACCTTGGAAGGATGGAAGGCTGAGTCAACCTTGAGCCTAGTGAAATTCGATCTGCCAAATTGCATGTAGCTGACAGTCAGCAGAAGTCGCCTGCAGTACTGCATTCTAACCACTGCGCCACCACAGCTCAAATCCAAAGGCCACAATTTCTGCATTCCTTTTCTATATGCTCAGCAAATAATATGTACACTTATTCTTTCATGTGGACATATTGCTGTATATATTGTATATTAACTTGATGAAAGTTTACTGAAATATAGTTTTGTGCAAGTTTGTCTTTTATTCTAGAAAGCAAATAATGCATTTGCAGCTTGTGTTGAAAGAATCTGCCATCCAAAAGTGAACAAGGAATCTAAACAAATGAATGCAACAGTGAAAATTTTTTCCACTATTGAATGAGGAAGCAGTTGCCAAGAGCCACAGAATATAAGAACCAATTTTCATGCATGTTAAATACACACACGACCCCCTATTACTGTAACTTTTTTGTGTTTTTGAAAGGTTGTCATGTGAGTTTCCTTGGTTCAATCATTGTTGCCTTACAATGTACTATTTCATCCAATGGAAGGTTACACACAGATACAAGAGTTTTCACAGTATAAAGATAGTTCCTTGGGGATTGTTATTAATTATTTTTTAAAAACTGGCATTGGACTTACAGCAATTATGCCTTAATAGTCATATAGACTAATAATAAAAAATTGTCTCAATTTATAGTTTTTAACTGACATACCTTGACTGTTCTTTTCAGCAACAAGACAGAAGACTATTTAAAATTCAGGAAAGGCTGTTGTAAAGCAGATCCTAACAGATCGTTGGATCAAAGAAGCACGAATGTCTTGTGGGATTGCTCTACGCTGGAGACAATGGGTAGTGTCTCCAGGGAGGAAAGCACTTTAGAAAAACTTTCTGGTTTGAAGGATTCAATGAATTCTAAGGAAGCTGAATGGAGAAATCCTTGTAACCCAAAGGAATTCAATTCTGCAGTGGAATCCAAACTCATAACAATGCTGCAGGTGAATACTAAGGATTTAGGAAGGGAGACCGAGCACTTACACTCTCAGGCTTTACCACCACTTGTTGGAGTACAGACTGTTAGTGAAGATGAAAGATACCATAGCAGTGAACCAAAGCATGTAGACACCTTCAGCAAAGAACACTTGAACAAAAGTCAAGCATTGGAGAAAGAAGACTTTCACAGATTTGATTGGAGTTCTGGGCACAGAGAAGGGCATGGGCCACTCCCCAAAAACACAAGTAAATCACCAGATGTAGCAACAAACCTGTCTGCTAAGAGACGGTCTGCACGAGAAGCTTCTTTGTTGGCTTTACCGGTATTTAGAAAAATGCTAAATCCCCATTTAAATAAAGCAACCAGTGTAGAGTGTGTGTTCTCTCCCTGGAAGGGACAGGCAGTGGATTCTGATATAGATGAAATAAGTTCTGCTATTCCAACTGACTGGGCATTAGAGAAATCAGGACTTCAGACAGCTATGGATCTTGTTGTTCATAAACATGGTTGGACAGTTAGTGACAAAGACACTATGGAACATGTTCCCCTAAGGTCTGTGGAATCTCCTTCCTGTAGCACTTTTGATGAAACAAGACCTTATATGTGCAATGTCCTTTTGGAGGAGCAAGAAAAAGATGATGTTGGCCAAGAAGGGGATCCAACTGTTTACACATGCATTGAGTGTAGCATCTATTTTAAGATGAAAGAACATTTGATGGATCATATGCTTCAGCATAACAGAGGATTGGATCAGGACAAAGAAGACACTAGAGGTCTGGATCAGTTGACCTGTAATGAGTGTGGATGGGGTTTTGGGGACATTGAATCTCTAGACCAGCATAGGAGGCTTCATCAGCAATCAAGAGAAAAGATCATTGAAGAAATTCAGAAGCTTAATGAATTATCAGATGAAGGGAGAGATGCCAGGCTACAATGCCCAAAATGTGTGTTTGGAACCAATTCTTCTAAAGTGTTTGTTCGGCATGCAAAAATGCATGTTAGGGAGAGGAAAAACCAAGGTTTGAAGAATGTGTTTGGCAGTTCTGCTTGTAGTGAACCACAGAATAGCTCTATGCACAATGTGTATAAACATTTCAGGCCAAATGAACATATATCTCAAGTTGCACATGATGCACACAGTAGAAGTAAAAAGCTTAGCATTTGCACGCTTTGCAGCTTCCCTGCACCAGATGAAAATATTTTAAAAGAACACATGAAATATGCTCATTCCCACCTGCCCTGGAACATAGAGACTTTGGAAGCAGACATGAACCAACCTGGGACTAGTAGGGATGACTATAGCTCTAGCGAGTCAGGACGATTTTTGGAAAATGATTATTTGAGCAAAACAGACAGATTCTTTCCACAGTACCACTGTGAAACTATGCCCCGCTACAACTCTTTCCTTGAGTGCACAGCAGGTCATCCAAAACTTCATAAAACTAATGGCACTAATATAAAGGACATCCCAATGCCAGGATTTCGGGCTAGGAAACGAGCTCCCTATAACTCCTCACAGAATGTCTTGGCAATGTCCACTCTTACCTCATCAAAAGCTTATTCTCCATATGCCTTGAACCAAATGAGAAATAAAAGCACAACTCTGCCACTTGAGGCTGAGAGAGAGAGTATCCAAAGCCATACAGGTGGGTTGGAGGAACAACTGTGCAAATGGTTACCTATAAACAATATTAGGACGACTGAAGAAGAATTCCCTTTGATGACAGAAATAGAATTAGCACAGAATAGATACTTTAACCCTTTTGTTATTCCTCAATCTGCCTTGGAACTCAAAAGGACTTTTGTAGGCACTTTGAAGGCAATGGATTGTACAACCCTATCAGCAGGACAGCAACAGCAGTTACATCAAATGGTTCCTATTGTTCTTGTTGAGGAAATTAATATTTATCCCCAAAAGAGGAAGAAGCCGAAGATGAAGAATCTGAGAAAAAAGTTGTCACCTGCAAGACACTTTGGAATGGAGGAATCTCTTCCCTTAGGTGTATTTCTGTTAGATTCCTCTCTAGAAGGATCTCTTGAACTGGATGATCTTCTGGGTACAGATTCCACAATGCTGAAAAATGAGGAGAGAAAATGCCCATACTGTCCTGACAGATTCCACAATGGGATTGGTCTGGCCAATCATGTGCGGGGCCACCTGAACAGGGTGGGTGTGAGCTACAATGTCCGTCACTTCATCTCTGCAGAAGAAGTGAAAGCTATTGAGCAAAAATTTTCCTTCCAAAAGAAGAAGAAAAAAGGTAGTATGTATTCAATTTGTATTTTTTCAATGTTTCCATTTTTTTTTAATTTCCTTGAAAATGGGTATGTATGCTCTCCAATTTTATTTCCTGAAAATATTTTACAATATCTTTGTAATAGCTGGATATTATTACATTATGATCTAATAGAGATTTTTTGAATGGCCCCTCAGTTTCATTATATGACACTGATTATTATTTTGTTTTTCATAGTTGCAAACTTTGATCCCAGTACGTTCAGTTTAATGAGATGTGAATTCTGTGGAGCTGGCTTTGACACACGTGCAGGGTTATCCAGCCATGCCAGGGCCCACCTGCGGGATTTTGGCATCACTAACTGGGAGCTCACCATTTCACCAATTAATATCTTGAAGGAACTACTAGCCAATTCATCTGAACAACACCCCGTGTTGCAGTATGTGATGGAAACAGACCCCTCATCTCCAAATGAAGAAAGAGAGATGCTTGGGTTTGGGCCCTGCAAAACTACACTCCCCATATCTGATTACAGCATTTCACAATCAACTTTTCCCCCCTTCCCTTCTTCCTGGGGAGATGAGACCATGCAGGCTTTCAGACATGGTAAGCACCTTTTAAACTGTATGTGTATCCAGGAAACAGTGCCGATATAATTTAAATATTCTGCCTTCTCTAGTTTCCTTGATAACAGCATGACGTAAATGGTGGCGTTTGCTGAAAACATGGAAGTGCAGTTGAAGTGCAGTGGTTTTTACAGGTCCATTGAGGAGAGCCATAGAAAGCTGATTTATAACCGGGGGGTGGGGTGGGGTGTTTTCACTAGTATGACATGATTTTGTATGTGTCTTTAGGAGGGAAAAGGGGGCAAATGACAAAATTGCAACACAACATTGCACACAGAAGTACTGCAACAATCTGTAGCTTACCTTGTGACATCACAAGGTACGTGATGTCACATTCCTTGTGAGGAGCTTCTGTGGTGCAGTGGTTAGAGTGCAGTACTGCAAGCTACTTCTGCAGCCAGCTGCCTACAATTTGGCAGTTCAAATCCCACCAGGCTCAAGGTTGACTCAGCCTTCCATCCTTCCGAGGTGGGTAAAATGAGTACCCAAATTTTTGGGGGCAATATGCTGATGCCGTAAACCGCTTAGAGAGGGCTGTAAAGCACTATAAAGCGGTATATAAGTCTAAGTGCTTATTGTTTAAATGCTTATCACAAAATACTAGTTTCTTATACAGGCTGGCTTCTAGCTAATTTCAGCTGTACTAATTTTCATTTTCTCTGCAGCATTTGATTATAGATGGCTCAATCCTAACTTAAGCCTGTACCTTGCCTTATAGTTAGAGTTTTGAAGAAAAAAAGAACAGCAATATATTTTTTTAAAGTATGAGGAACAAAGAGGGGAAATGTTAAAAGAGGAAGATGGAAAAAAAGGAGAAAATAGAGAAATAGAACAGAAAGAAAGTACAAATGTGATGAAGGCATAAATTTGTAACATGACCTATTGACCTAATGAACACATGTTCACTGTATGGAAAATGACCAAGCCAGGGTATCTGTAATTAGTTTACGTTTATTGCTGGCAAAAAGCAATTTAAGGAGATGATGGTGAGACAGTTTCAGTCTGTGAAATGCTGAACCACATTCACACTATAATAAATCAGTAGGCAACTTTTCAGTAGGCAAAGCTAGAATTGTTTGAAAAACAAGCATTGATGTCATAATGCAATCCTTATTAATTTTCTTCCTAATGCAATCCTTATTAATTTTCTTCCTAATATTTAGGAAATCAATTTTAACCTTTATGGTGTTTTTAAACCATGCTGTTATGGTATGTTATGGGATGGATATACCAGCAACATATGAAATATGGATGATAAAGATGAGATGATGATAATAATAATGATAATGATTTCAGAAAAAGCCCATGTTAGACTTATTTTTGCAGGAAAATAAAAACATTAATTAAAGAAAACTTCCCTGATAAAATTAATATGGAGACATAATCATCTAACACCAACTAGAGTCCTATACTGGGTGGAAAAAGAGATGCCAGATGTTCAATCTGGCTTTAGAAAAGGCCGAAGAGTAGGAAAAGTTATTGCTGATGCATGCTGGAAAATTGAGAAAGCCAACGAATACAAAAAAGAGGTCAGTGTATACCTCATCAATTAGAAAAAAGCCTCTGATTGTGTTGATCAGGTCAAGTTGTGGAAAGTGCTGAGAAAAGTTTGGAATCCCAGAATATCTCATTGTCCTCATGAGAAACTTACGTACAGGTCAGGAAGTCACAATATGGGCAGAACTTGATGAAAGAGACTGGCTTCACATCAGCAAAGGAGTGCAACAAGGCTGCAAGCTTTCCTCTCATTTATTCAACCTATATACCAAATATAGGTACCAAATATATACCAAATATATATTAAAGGAAACTAGATCGGAAAAGATGAGCATGGTTTTAAACTGGAGGAAGAAAAATCAGTAACCTGCACTATACTGATAACACTATTCTGATAGCTAAAAACATAAAGGGTCTGCAATCCCTAGTACTAAAAGAGCTTAGTGAAAAAATGGACTAAAATTAAAAAAGACCAAACTAATGTCAAGAAGTAGAACAACCAACCTTAGAATTTACAATGAAGATATCAAATTGGAGGGTAGACAGAATATAAAAAGCAATTTAGGCTCAACCATCAACAATAAAAGAACGAATAGTCAAGAAATATGCTGCAGACTAGCACTTGGTAGAACAGCTATGAAGGCCTTGGAAAAGACACTCAAGTGCTGTGATGTGTCTATGCCTACGAAGATGAGAATTTTGCAGGCCATAGCATTTTCTGTGATACTCTGTAGAAGCTAAAAATAGACTTTAAAGAAGCAAGATGGGAAAAATATTAACACTTTTTACTTCTGTTGTTGGAGAAGACTCCTGACAATGCCGTGGACAGCCAAGAAAATAAACCTATGGCTCATTGAAGAAATCAACCCAAAGTTCTCACAAATGGCCAAACGACCAGGCTCAAATTATGTTACTTCTGATATATTATGTAAATATCTATATCTCTGAAAATGCTGGGAAAGTTGGAAGGAAAGTGGACAACCAGCACAAGGTGGTTGGATTCAGATACAGTGGCAATGAATTTACTGTTGGGAGACTTGAAAGAACAAGTTAGGGATGGATTGTCATGGAGAAAATTTACCTTATGTGGTTGCTAGGAGTCAAAAAGAGCTTGGAGATATATAATCAATCAATAAAATGGAAGTTGGTGTTATGTTCCAAGTACTCACAGAATTGTTGTTTTTCTAATGCATTTAAATTAACAGTGAGATGGCCAAACCAGGTAATGCAATCTAGATTTGTTCAGATTAGAATCAAACTGGCATAATTTTCCATTCTTAATGTATAGGAATGGAGGTGCAATGGCTCAGCAGTTAAAGATGCTGACCTTGTAAGTTGGAAAGCTGATACCCCAGATTCGAGACAAGAGCACAACGGGGTTACATCCCATTACTTTTCCCAGGACCTGGCCATCCAACAGTTTGAAAGCATGCAAATGAGAGTAGATAAATAGGTATCATTTTGGTGGGAAGGTAACAGCATTCTGTGTGCCTTTGGTGAATAGTCATGGTGGCCACATCACCTTCGAAATGTCTTCAGACAACATGGCTCCCTCAGCTAAGAAACAGAGACAAACACCACCCGCTAGAGTTGGACAGACTGGATAGGGGGAAAGCTTTACCTTAATATATAGGAAAAGCCACAGAACTAAAAAATGATGAAATATGAGAGAAGATCATCAATGCAGTTATAGTTTTAATTAATTGGGAGAAGAATTAATGAAGAATTTAGAAGTGTCAATATCACAATGATATAGAAAAATAATCCCAATGGCTGCAGTTTCTGCTGTTCTCTTTGAGGGAAGGCATGCATAGAATATTTAAGTCTTTAAAATATAATCTTGTTCAGTATTCAGTTGCAAAAGTTCTCAATGAGGGAATATGTAGCCTTTCACACCTAGAGGACATAAGATTTAATCTGATGGGTATATGTACATAGAATACAAGTATGTCTATTGTATTCCTATGTTATAGTAAAGTCTGTTTCATTAAACATTTCCCTAACAATGTACATACTTTCTATAAAAAGAAACAAAGCACAAAGAAGGGTGGAATACAACAGGTAGCTCTTGTACAGACAAAAGAAGCAACTTCTTCAGAGGATCAAAATAAATATACTTTATTTATTAATTGGGGTTGAGATAAAAATAAATAAAGTAAAAAAGAATCTGAAGCTGACCCAAATTATTTTAAGGATAAACTTTTATGAAATTGTGAAAAACTGCAAAAAGTCCTTTTTAAGTTGTATATAAAAAATGGCAGTCTGAATCCACATAAGCCATTAGCAAAGTGACTTGTACTGAGTGGAAAGTGTGCTCACATTATATGGTGGCAATCCCCAAGGTAGCATGAAGAGAATTTTCAAGTAAGGAAAAAGATGAAATAATTAAAAAGACACAGTGGAATATTAAGGGAAATATTTAACATTTAAAAAGACATACATATTATTTAAGTAATATGCCTATTTTTAGTTGGAGAACTCCTGAAGCATATTTTTAATGTAAAGAATAGAAAAGGAAACTTTCTTTAAAAAATTATACCTTTTAGATACTTTATTTATTAATTAAATTTATATGACACCTATCTCATTTAGAGGCATCTCTAGGTGGCTTGCATCCAAATAAAAGCAACAAGATAAAAATTAAGTCATTAAAACAATAAATATTAAAATTGATTCAAAAATTAATAAAGATGCAAGGAAGGGAACAAGATGCACATGGGGAGAGGCTCTTATGTCTAATCTGCCACCTCATCAGCTGGAATTTGGAGTTCATATCTCCGGGTCATATTTCAGTCATTAGCTACTTCCACTATAGCACATCCTCATCAGGCCCCTGGGCCAATTGGCAGAGTTTTCTGGCCCTTCTGGAAAGCCAAAAGGATGGGTATGGACCTCACCTTAGGGGGGGCATCATGTTCCAGAGGCAGGAACCACAGCAGAAAAGGCTCTTCTGAACTCTACCGACCAGAATTCCTTGATCAAAAGGGTCCACAGCAATAGAGCTTAATAGTGGTGAATATCTGTAGCTCAGGTATAGGATGAGGGTAAAGGTTCATTCTCCAAGCTTGTATGTTGGTTTCCAAATGTTTCATTACCAGGCTAGGTAACATCTTCAGTGGAGTTTAGGGTATATCGGTGTCAGTGTTCTTCTGTTTATAGGGGCTTCGTGCGGTCAGTAGGTCAGTTAAAACAGGATTCATGAACACCAGGTAGCAGTCAAACACCACAATCCCAAATCCATAATTTCTACCCACACTGACACCAAACAGCACCAGTTCAATTGGAACAACACAAAGATCATCAGCCATGCTATCACCCACCACGCTCGTGAGATCATCAAAGCCTGGCACTCCACAAGCAATTCCATCAACAGACACACTGACCTAAAACCAGCCTACAAACCCCTCAGAATCCAAATCAATCGAAGAGCCAACCAGAAACAGCACTGACCCTTAAACAACCCATGCAAACCTCCCCCAACCA